CTTCATTTTCTTTGACCCTCGTAGTTGCTGTGGCGGAATCTGCCATCAGCCTCGTTGCTGTCGTGTTGCCGTCTGCGCCTTGTCTGCAGGGCCCTCTGGGACGCTCGCTGGTGATCTCGGGTGTCACGCCGTGTAGCCAGAGGCTGGTTTCTCCATAGTCTTTCTTCTTTGGCATCTACGGACTCTTTCAACCTGGGGTCTTCCCTCGTTCTCTACTTCTGTGACATTAATCTCCATTATTTTACACATACTCCCTCCTTTCCACTTTTGTTTTAACTTATTTTTGGAGCTCCTATTATCCGGATGTTGGCAGTGTGCGCACCCTCGTTTCTAAACTTTTATCGATCCTGTCTGTTTACTCCTCCCCGCCTCCCTCCGGGGGGCCCCTCCGTCCTGCCTTCCAGCAGCGGTGCGGACCTGTCCGTATCCTTCTCGCGTTCCTCTCGTTAGTGTGCTTTCCGCTGCTTGCCGCCGCTTTCCGCCATGCTAGTTTCAAATCACATTTCTACTTATTTTTTATGGTCTCGTGTTCTCGTTTCATACTGGCAATATCTGCCCTCGTTTCTTTTATAACCTTTTCATGTTGATGTGAATTCCTGGCCCATCTGCTCTGACATTGCTGCTTCTGGCGGCGCCTGCCCTTCAGAGCCCCACCGGGGACCGGGGAGCAGTAGCTTTGGGGCGGCCCCTCCTCAAGGCTGCAGTAGCCGCCCCCCATGCCCCTCAGGCCCTCGCGGGTAAGGCCCCTGCGCGTCCCCAATGTACTTTCTCCTGGAGACGCTCGCACCCGCTGTCCCTCCGAGTGCTTGGCGTTGGCAGAGGACAGAGCCCAGGCGTGGCTGCCCCGTGGCACCACCCGGCCCGCTGCGCCAGCTCTCCGGGGGCTGTTCCCGCTGCCTCCTGTCTTGCTATTCCCCTGCATTTCCTCGGGGCTGACCGGAGGCAGTGGCTCTGAAGTGGGGGCAGGAGCAACAGCGTCACAGCCGGGAACTTGTTAGAGATATGAGCTCAGGCCTGTCTCAGACTCACCGAGCAGGAGCTCTGCGGAGGGGCCGGCGGTTGCACAGCCTGTGATGCACCCCAGGGGCAGGATAAGCTCTGTGGGTCCCGCCTTTTGCACGTGCCCCACACTCCTGCCTGTGCCCACTGCCCCAAGTCGAGACTTCCTCGCACACTTGCGGTAGCGCCGCATCTCCTCTGTTGTTCATCTGCTGTGTCCCTGCCACGGCGGTCGGCTTCCTAGAGCTAAAACAGCTCTCATCTCCCCCTCCGTGGAAATTTTCACCCACGCTGACTACATTCATGATAAGCTCCTCCCCTTGGACTTCAAGGCCCTTTGTAAACTGCCCTGCCCCGCACGTCCACGCGCTCTGTCTGCGGGTCACCCTCAGTGGCGGCCTGTCCCCGCGCCCCCATGGCTTCCTCCCATCTTCCCTCGGTGAGATCCCACCTCCCCCTCCAAGCATATTGCGTGTTCTTCCCCTCCGTGAGTCTGCGGTTGGATTTAACCCCTCTCCTCTTGGGACCCCAGCACTTTGCCCTTCTCTTGTCATGTTTATCCCTGTTGGTTGTCGTACACTTCTGGACTTTGGGGAAGCAGAGATTTTCTTACTCAAATTTGTATCCAGTGCAATGCCTATGTCATTGTCTTATACATGTAGACGTTCGGCACTGAACTAATTGAATCATATCTTAGATAAATAAACTACTGAAGGAGTACTTGCCAAAAAAAGTACTGGATAAAAAGTAGACTAATATTAGTCTTTTGTTGCTTATAAAAATGCATATTATTTTCTAATAAATGCTGGTTTGTTCTCCAAGTATTGTTATAACAATATAAGCCAATTTGTTTTAATTTAAGCTATTATTAGTTAAAATTAATTGAACACCAATCAAGAGCTTAACATGTTCTCAAGAGCCTCTGAGCACTTGTACATAATTAAAAATACACTTTAATTAAAAAATCTAAAAATGGAAAGCCAGTCCGATCCTGGAAGAGCAGCTCCCATGGGTTCAACGGCCCGTTTGGATCACGCTGGCTGCGTGTGCCGTTCCCCCCGTGGTCCACGTGCTAGTCATGTTGTGTCAGAAATACCCTAACCCTAGATTGCCGGCCTTGAAATCTCTACCCCATTTCTTCTTTCTTTGCAGATTATTTACAATGAATGGGCATCTTTTGGACAACTCAAAGGATCTGCAGGACAACCATTTCTATGTCGCTGCGGGACTGGAGGCCTTCAAACACTTCCCTTACTGGAATTCTCCACGGGTTCCCAGCGAGGTCCAACAGTGAGCACGCTCCATCCCTGTCCTTTCCGAGTTTTGGGAATATTTTCCCTTTCCCCTAGCATCTCTCCCAAATGCGTCCGGTTCAGCCATTGGTTATTTTTCTACAGTGAAACTTGATATTTTATGTACCATTCAATTTTAGGTTTCTAAAATTAGGCTTGGTGGAACGACCCTTCTTTGCAGTGTTGACAAGGACAGTGAGAGCCCACGTTGAGTCCGTCGTCGTTTCTCTAGGAAGCAGCAGCCGTGGGGACCGGGAGTCAGGATGTGCGAAACGTTCAGAGCTGGTTTCGGGCTGCGGTTTGCCCGTCCGTGACGCGTCCAGCGCAGGGCCCTGCTTTCTGAGGTTGACTTGCTTCTCTTTGTCTCAAATGCAGAGGCTGTCCCGGGCATCAGTCTCTCCTGCTGGAAAAAGCTGTGATTCTCAGAGTAGACCGTGGGCATGGCTAGGAGGACACACCACAGGGTGTGTGTTTATGGACACAGGAAGATGCAGACGTGGCGGGACGGGGTGCACAGCTCTGAAGCCGACCTGCGGGTTCTTCCTCGATGGCTCAGCCCTGACAGGTGTGATCGAGATGCATTCCGTGCGGGACACGATTCGAGGGCTTACGAGGAACCTTCCCCATAGCTATTTCTTTGTTAAGTCTTTTAATGGTCACTATCTTGAGCAAAGAAAAAGAGGTGTCATTTTTCATCTCTTTGTGGAAAAGGACAGACAGTTTTAAGTGTGCAGCTTATTTTCAGAGAGTACCGTGCAGGTGGTCGGGTTTCACTCCCTACCCCTACGTTCTGTTGCTCGAGCCCCTCATGCATTTGGAGAGCCTGAACCGCCCCAGCGGGTGCGGTGTCTGAGGCTGACTCCTCTGTCCTGGCTCCCGCGCTGTTAGGGTTTGTACTTTAAGGCAGAGAAAGGCTCCCTTTGTCCTGTGGGCTGAGGCTGGCCCTGCAGTAGTTTGGTGTCCAGGCAGACGGTCCGGTCAGAGTGCTGCCTGCTAGCGTGGCTGTTTCCTGCTTGTACCGACGTGACGCCTTGGCCACAGCCCAAGTAGCACAGCCGCTGGAATTACCGCAGGGGCCGGTCCAGTTGAATCGCTCGCTCTACCTGCTTCCACCGTGTGTTCTGCGCCTTCCTATGTGTTTTGCTGTTTCCCGCCTTCCGTTCATCATTGAGCCCTGAACTGAATCTGTCAGCTACTTAAATACCTCCCACCCCCCAGGAGGTTGAGGCTCGGGGTCAGCAGGAGGCTGCACACAATTGCAGGGAGGCTGCAGTGCATTTGGCAACGCAAAGTGGACCCAAAAGGGGCTCTTTTGCAGAGAATCTTCCCGTGGAAGCGTTTCCAAATTTGTGTAGCAGCTATTGGAGCGAGCAGCAAGAAAGAGGAAATTAGAACTGGGCTGCGTGTGTTTGTGACGGTGGCAGTCAGGCAGGAGCCCTGGGGTGTGGCAGGAAGGGAGTGCATTTTGCATTTTGGATTTTGGATCGAAATCTCGGTTCTGCCCCTGATCAGCTTCAGGACACTGGGCGAAACCCCCGTCTCTCTGGGCCTCGGTGTCCTTGCCGGTGCGATGAGAATGGTAATTCTTGCTTTGCTCAGTTACTGTGAGAGCCACGGGAGGAAACCATGTTTGTGTGTGTGTTAGGGTCTCCCCCATGGCATGAGCAGCGCAGAGCACGCCGCACCCTAGTACTCGAGAATCCACCCGATTGTCAAAGATCTCAGGGAGGGAAGTGGGCAGGTGCCCGGGGGCCCGTTCTGCTCGGGAGGCTGGGAAACCGGTGCTGTCGGCCGTGCTCTGTGTGGACGGCCGGCGATTCCCCTCCGAAAGCCAAGGCTGCATCTGACATTTTCATAAAGACATGTCAGGGCTGAGTTTTAAACATTTCAAGGTGACTGTCTTTTGTCTTTCAGAAGGTACGCGGATATTGAAAAATACCCACCGAGAAAGAAAACGGTAAGTAATTTTTTGAAAGAAGCGATGATAGCTGTCCCGACTCTGGCATCTCCTGGCATTAGCGAGGGGACAGCCCACATGAGGCCCCGAGGTGTGACGCAGCTCCCTGGGCACAGAGCTAGTGCCAGCTTATTAGGAAAAGTCAGACGCGCTGGCTCCTGGGCACGAGTGGGCAGAAGGGTGGTTTGTGTTGGGAGCGCAGCGTGCAGGACTGGGAGGCTCGGGGAGGTGTTTGCAGCAACACAGCAGGTGCAAAGACAGAAACATACACCAGGTCTCAGGGGACAGGTGGAGGGAAACTGAGCCAGGCGGGGTGGGGCGAGAGGAGGACATTCCGGGTAGGCGTTACAGCTGGAGTCAGGCAGTGAGGTGGGAAGCAGCTCAGTGCACGTGTGCATGTATGGCTGTGTGCGTGTGCGTGCATGTCTGTGTGCGTGCGTGTCTGTGTGTGTGCTTGTATGCCTGTGTGCATGTACGTGCATGTCTGTGTGCGTGTGCTTGTATGTCTGTGTGCATGTACGTGCATGTCTGTGTGCGTGCGTGTGCATGTCTGTGTGTGTGTCTGTGTGCATGTGCGTGCATGTCTGTGTGCGTGTGCTTGTATGTCTGTGTGCATGTATGGCTGTGTGCGTGTGCGTGCATGTCTGTGTCCCTATGTGTCTGTGTGCTTGCTTGTGCATGTCTGTGTGCGTGTGCATGTATGTCTGTGCATGCATGTCTGTGTGCGTGTGCATGTACATGTGTGTTGATTGACACACAGTCTGATGTCGCAGCATAAAGCACGAGGAAGGGTGGCGAGGAGGTAGCAGGACGCAGGGCTGGCAAGGCAGGCAGAAGCCACGTCCCACGGGGCCTCCCCGTCCTTCTGATGCATCTGTGTGGGCCTTACATGCCCCTGACCACCTTATAAAGAACGCATTTTAGTGGTTCTAAGGATGTTGAGATTTGTTCAGCGCAGCTGTCGAATGCTGGCTCCTGCCGCTTCCTGTCCGCCCGGCTCACTGGCTCAAGTCCCTCCCACTGCCACGCTGTGGCCCTGAGCACCTTGCTGTGCTGGCCGTTCCTTCCTAGCATCTAGCACCCAGCTATGGCTGGCGCTCCCCTTGCAGCTCATATTTCATAATTGCCATTTTAATCCCTCGCACGCTTGGCTTTGGCTTCCTCACCCCTCCGAGCCACCATGGCCCCGCCCTGGCCAGCACCCACGGCTGACCCTGCTCTTGGCGCCGAGTCCCACATCCTAACCCTACCCTTACATGCCGAATGAGCCTTACTTCTAAAACAGTGCTATTTTCTAAATGAGTTTTGCTAAATGTTATTAGGGAATTCTGCATGTCTGTTCTTAAGTGAGATTAGCCTATAATATTTCTTTTGCATGTTGTCCTCGTCTAGCTTTCGGTGTCAAGG